TCAAACTCATTAGAAAAGTACTCTCCACCATGATCAGACCGGACTCATTTTATTTTCTTCTCAAGTTGGTTCTCAACTTCAGCCTTATAGACTTTAAAGGAGTGTAGAGCCTCATCCTTAGTATTTAACAAATACATATAGCAGAATCTAGTGGAATCATCAATCAGAGTCATGAAGTATTTCTTTCCACCTTTAGTCAACACACCATTCATCTCACAGAGATCTGAATGTATGAGCTCTAGAGGTGCCAGGTGTCTCTCCTTCGCAGGCTTGTGAGGCTTACGAGGTTGCTTAGCTTGCACACACGGATGGCACTTAGAGCCTTTGGCTAAAGTGAAACTCGGGATTAAATCCATCTTAGCTAGCCGCGTCATACAACCGAAATTTATGTGACAAAGACGTGAATGCCAAACCTCAGATTCGTTCACATTAGAATGAATTTGGTTCACGACTTTATTACAGAAATCCTCCAGGGGAAGGCGGAACAAACCACCACAATCATATCCTTTTCCAACAAATAGTCCATATCGAGATACGACTACTTTGTTAGACTCAAATACTAATTTAAACCCTTCTTTACATAGAAGGGAGCCACTAAAGGGATTCTTCTTTATGGCGGGGACATGCTGCACGTTCTTCAGTTGCACGATTTTTCCCGAAGTAAACTTCAGATCTACCGTGCCAACACCATGAACAGAAGCATGTGAGCCATTCCCCATCAGGGCGGAACAATCTCGTGCGACCTGGTAGGCAGAAAACAAACACACATCAGCACACACATGAATATTGGCCCCAGTGTCAATCCACCAATCGATGGACTGACAAACTGAAAGAATGGTAAACAGATTACCATACCTAGATGTCGCATCATTGTTGCTCAGAGTGATATTCACAGACTTGGAGTCCTGTGCTAGCTTCTTATACTTGTTTGGGCACTTGTTTGCCCAATGTTCATCTGAACCACAAGTAAAGCAACCGTCTCTCTTTTTGTCTTTCTTCTTACCCTTCTTCTTAAAGGTAGTATTCTGCTGGATAGAGTTCTTTCCCTTGAACTCGTGGAAGTTCTTCTGCACCACATTGACGCTAGAAGAACCCTCTACCCCTTTCACGTGCGAGTCCTTTGCTCTCGAGTTCTGCTCAATACTGAGATGACCAATGACATCCTCAACAGAGAATTCACGTCTCAAGTGCTTGAGAGAAGTAGCAAAGTTCCTCCAACTAGGAGGGAGTTTTGCAATAATGCAACCCGCGACAAACTTGTCCGGTAACTCACACTTCAGGAGCTCCAGCTCCTTAGTAATGCACTGTATCTCATGAGCCTGGTCCAATACAGAACGGTTATCAACCATCCTGTAATCATGGAACTGCTCCATGGCATACAGCTCACTGCCAACATCAGTTGCGCCGAATTTGACTTCGAGTGCATCCCACAAGTTTTTGTCAACACCCATATGAATATAGGCCTTAACCAACTTGTCTCCAATCACACTCAGAACTGCACCCAGAAAGATTGTGGTTGCCTCCCTAAACGCCTTCTCCTGTTCAGGAGCAATCGTTTCTGTGAGGGACACACCACCAACCCAGAACACGTTCATCGCTGTGAGCCACAAGGTGGTCCTAGTCTGCCAACGCTTAAAATGAGTCCCGCTAAACTTTTCCGGTTTCAGAGTAGCAGCAAAGCCTTGAATCGAAAAGTCCCTAAAATAAGGTTTTTGGATTGTTGGAAATATTAGCACTTTTCCTATTAGACTTACCCATGAGTAAACAGTAAGTATGGCATAAAAGGTATGCATTTCATAGTGATACCTAAGCATACTAGCACATACAGAACATATAATCGAACCATCTATGAGCAGCACATATACGGCTAGCATAAGTACGAGTAAACAAGGGATGAACAGATCATACCCTCCGGTTGGCCAGGCCAATGCGGCGGCGGCAGCAGCAGCCTCGGCGTCGTCTGTGGCCTTCTTCTTGGAGGCGGCGTCGTCGGCCATGGTGTCGATGTAGAGGAAGTAGTGGAAGCAGAGGCGAATGGAGTTGGGGACGGATCGGGAGCAGTCGCGTTGAGACGCTCCCCAAAAACCTTATTGCCGTTCTCCCGGGCAGGATCTCGAATGACAGGGTTCCGGAGGCACCTGCTCTCCCGACCAACCATGCACGTGGTCGTCGGGATGGGATCGCCGGAGGCAGCACAGTGAGAGGAACAGTAGATGACGGCTAGGGTTGTACGAGAGGGAGTGAGTGAACCGAAATAGGTTACTTCACTGGCCACAGCCTTCTTATATAGTCCGTAAGGAAGAAAGTCATGGGCCTTGACGAGGCCCACGACCGAGTCGGCCCACTCCCGGCAAGGGAGTCGACAAATACGCGGGTCCCGGCAAGCTTCGGCTCGGCTCATTCCCGCAACCAGCGGTGCGCACGCGTCCTGACGAGGCGTGGCGAGGCGGGCGGCGGAGGAGGAGGAGCGCGCATGTACCACTCCTCTTCCCAAGCTCCCAATGGCAAGTGGTAGAGCAGCCCTTATAAAGAGGTCTCAATTCTTCTCAACTAGCAAGGTGGGACTAAACTTCCCACCACCTGCCATCTCATACATGGGTCTCAAGATTAACCAGGGATTAGTATTTTATATGGGCCTAAGCCCGTCCATAATCCAACACGAAGTTCCCGAGAGAAATTTCAAATTTCTCATTCACCCCCTGGTAGACATACTTCATTGCTACACTAACAATACGTATTCAACAGGTTGGACACCACATATACCCCCTACACACTCGTCATAAAGAACAACAGGTTGTCATCAGTTCCTGCCACCTTTATCCTACTTAAATGCAATAATGGGCTAGAGTTGGAGTCCTAAGAGCTCTATTGTGCTAGAGCTTGGTGATGGGCTTGCACGTCTAGGGCTAGGCTTCCTTTAGGCATGGGAGCTATATGTCGCCCATACCAAGACGTAATATGTCTCGTCTACATTGAGTCGTTATTGGGCCACGCAATACTATAGCTGCCCATGCTTTTTTTCCCTACAAATTTTTATCTGTTTTGCATCGGTTTCAATATGCTTTTTTACTGTTTTTCTTCATATTTATTTATTCGGTTTTCACTTGTTTTCTGCAGTTTGTTCGTTGTTTATTTTTATTCTTCTTTAATTTTTTTATTTACTTATTTCAACACATGTCTAATTTTTTCATACACATTGTACATTATTTTTATACAAAAAGAATAATCTTTATACATGTCTAGATTTTTCAATAAATATTAATATTTTTCAAATATATGTTTTGATGTCCACTTTTTTTATACAAATTATATATTTTTGTATACATGTAAAACATTTTTTACATAAAGTTGACATTTTCCATTACATGGTTAATATTTTTTGAAATACTTGTTTTGAACCTTTTATTGAATACATGTTAAACATTTTCAAATACAGGTTGAATGTGCCAACATTTTTTTTAATGCCACATACATTCTTTTTGCCAGGTTAGGTACACCTACATGCCAACTTAGCATGCCCTGCATAACCTTCCTCCCCCACTAATCCCCATCTGAATTTCGTCCTGCGCCTCCACTAATCTCCACTTAACAAACGCGACATCCCTACATAACTTTACTCATCCCGTAAACACCCTCATGTCTACGAAAGCTCCATGCTAAAACATAATCCCTCTACAAAGAAATATAAAAGTGTTTCAATCACCAGAGTAGTGATCACTAGAGCAGTGATCTAAACGTCACCTCACTCATCCCGTAAGCAACCTTAGGTCTATCAAAGCTCCATGCTAGAAAATACTCCCTAAATATAAGAGCGTTTAGATCTTTATAGAGGGAGTACAACAAAGGATCTAGCACGCACACCGATTGAGATTAGGTGCTGTTCCTATTTATCCTTAACTATACGGATACAAGATGTAGAACCTGATTAGACATACAACACATGCACACACCCACACACACTCGCTATAACAGACCTACAACCTATACATATGCAACACGTCTTGAGAAACTTTCCAAACCATCCGGCTTCACGAATGGTGTGTACGTGGTGCTCCATGTGGCCCGTAGACGTGTAATGTACCTGAAAACTAGGTAAAACTAATAGAACACCCGTGTGTTGCCATAGGCTTTTAATTTATTCTTTTTTATTACACATATAATGTACAACCTCCGTCCGGAAAAATACGTCTAGATACATCGATTAAAATCCACTTCACCTATTCTCTGTCAAGTATTTTTGGACAGAAAAATAGATAAAAATGGATGTATCTAAAATTAAAATACGTCTAGATGCATCAGTTTGTCTAACAAGTATTTTTGGACAGAAAAATTATGTCAGATTTTGCATGCATAGAAAATAACAATTGGAAAATAACTAAAATCCACTTCACCTACAAGGTAACTTGATGATATACACACAGAGACATGATGCGCTTAAGATATTATATATTACAAACTAAGATTTACTTCATGTGCACGGTACTTCGACAAGTATAATAAAAATCTATTATGTAATTAAGACAGGCAAACAAGCCATCACATTCATCCACACAGATTAAATTATTTGACCATAAACTTTAATTTTCAAATAGGGTTCATGGGCATCCAGGAGCTCCTATGTATTTTCCTATCAAGTACACCACACAGCATTTCCTTCTCCATTGCTTGTCCTGCACGATCAGCCACTATTTTGCTCACCCCGGGTGAGACTTATATATGCTGATCCTAGTGGGCTAGTTGGCCACCGCCAATGCCACTCATAGAGCCAAGGGCTTGTTCTCTGGATTGGGGTTAGTTTGGTTGGTGTATTGTACATCTCGATGCCTGACTATATAAAAGTAGTGAACCTGGTTGGATGGTTAGTAGGAAATTTCATAAAATCTCAAGATGATATGTCGGTTCAGTCTCTCGGAGATGCCCATAGGGGTAGGGTGTGCGTATGTGGGTTCATAAGGGGTGATGGTATGCACGTATATATGAGCTCTTGCGTCTCTACTGCGTTAAAAAAATTCTATAAGTATAAATGGATTATTTTTTAAATCAATATCATTAGATTTATTGTAAATCAATATTTGCAACTCCTTTTTATTTCTTAGCAAAATAATCATGTATTCATAAATAAAATAAAGTTCAATATTATATACAAAATAATAGTCAATCTTAATGTAAAGGTGCCTAATATGTTGTATATTATGCGATGAAGTACAAAATAAAGGTCAATCTTAACGTAAACGTGCCTAAAATGTTGTGTATCATGTGATTACGTACAAAATAAAGGTCAAACTTAAACATGCCTAAAATGTTGTGGATCATGCGATTAAGTACAAAATAAATGTCAATCCTCGTGTAAACATGACTAAAATGTTCTGTATTATGCAATTACGTATAAACTAAAGGTCAACCTTAATGCAAACATGCCCACAATGTTGTGTAATATGTGATTAAGTGACAAGTAGGAGTTAAGAGTTAAATGAAAAAAAAAATAATTCCAACTTTTATACCTAAATTTTGGGTTTGTGACAGATTATATACACCATTTACCATTTTTTTAATTAAGCAAATTGCTGCCAATCTTTACCCACCCCCCCACCCCCCCCCCCTCTTTT